TCCAGATCATCACCTCCCTACAAGATTAGGAAACCAGCAAGCACAACCCTGTTACCAAGATAGCTCCCCTAAACACGTGTAGCCCCCATGCACTTAAGAGTGCACTTTACACATGAGGCATTGACTCCATGGCCTGTAAGCAGTGCATCACTTCAGGGCTACTTTCTTCAGCATCACATCATGCATCTGTGTAACACAACTCTTGCTCTGAGGTCAAGGCTATAGCTACTAAGTAGTCCTAGAAGGCAGGGATATCACCAGAGCATCAGTTCCAAGTCCACTTCAGACTGTGGTCTGGGCTTCTGTAACCCCTTACAGATTCGCAACCTAGCAATATCAACATGAGGCAAAACCTTCTTTAAGTACATGTTTACTCTTGCAAATGAGAATTATTCATTACTGTTCTCCCAAGTCTCTTATTTTCAGTATGATTTATGGCTAGCGAATCATGGAGTTAGGAATTCCCAGAGTTTAGTTTACAGTAACATTTAAAATCCATAAAATGATTAAGAATCCTTACTTCCAGCTGTAATAATATTTCGTTGACAGCACAACACCATCAGCTGCTAATTAAGATCCAAGATCAGACAAAAGAAAGCTTAAGTTTTATGACAGTCCGTGAATTCCACGACAGTGTTGTTAAGGTTGACTGCTAGAACCCACAACTCAGGAAATACACACTGAAGGTGTTTGGCACAACCCACGCTGCAGCAGCACCTGTAAAAAGCTCCTGCTGCATGCAAGCTGCCCAGCCACTGACATCCCACAGCAACAAGCTCTTCAGGCTGATTGCACCAGACTCACAGCCCAAGTGCCCATGCTCGGTGGAAGCAAGGGGACAGAGCCCGAGCAATCAGTTTAGGCAGCTGCCAACAACTTTACAGTCCTCAGACTAATAATCTGTAATTGATCAAAACTTTATACCTGCAGGTTATCAGCATTCAGGTCAGTCTTGTGCTGATCACTTGGTTTGTAGCCACCATGCCTGTCTTCAATAACTGGATCAAAGAGCTCCTTGAACACTTCATAGGATTCTTCATCACCAGCCACGCATCCTACTGTCATTATGAAAGGATGGCCTGGAGTGGTAATAAAGTCAGAAGAGCTAAGTTTGGGTGACATTTGGCTGTACTCCAGTGCAGCACTAACCAGGCAAGTTCTTTAGTGGCAAGTCTAGTCACTTAGAACTCCATTCTCACATAGAAACATTTGGAGAGACCCTACATTTTACACTTCATCCAGTTAGTCAAATGCAATGCTATGGCAACCCATAGCTATTGTCATTAAACCATGCTCATTTGTCAAGCTTGGTTTAGGACAAATTTGCACAGCACATCTAATTTGACTAGCTAATTTAGATCACTGCATAGAATTTTATGTCTAAACAATCATGCTTTGCTGCAAGCAAGCATGCTTTGCTTTTCGCTCCTTCTGCTACATTTCTGTAGTCTGTTTATAAATACCACCTCCACAACATTAGCTTTAAGTCAGCATATTAAAAGCACCAGTTACTTCAGCTGGTTCACACGGAATATTCTCAATGCATTTTACCAGGATTATCAACCCCAGTCTGAATGACATCATCCAGGGTGAAGCCACTGGGCGTGACTCTGTCTCTCAGTTTCTTGTATAAATCCAGGGTTAGAACTTTGGCCATGTGGTTGTTGTGGGTGCTCAGGTCCGGATACTCCTCATCAGGAGGCAGTCTCTGATTATTTAGTTGGGCCATTTTGATATTGCTAGAGTAAAAATAAATACTGTAATGTTAACATGTAAACACATCTGCTCCCCCTTTTTCATAGAAGTGCTACAAAACATCATATAACCAGTCTGGAATAGGAAGAGATCAAGACAGCCAGGTAAACTGACTTTTTTTTTTCCCCCCCTCGCCAGATGAGTTATAATTAGAATGCATTTGGTTTGACTTTTTTTTCCCCTCTTCAGATTGAAAGTATTTAGCAGAGCAGTTACATAATTGAAGTGTCTGGGACTTGGTATGTCAGATCACAGCATGAAACACAGCTTGATGAAAACATGGCCTCCCAACAGAGCCATGCCTTTAGAGCAGTCTCTCAGTGCTTTAGATTTGTCCCTCGGTAGCTTGAGAACTTTGGGTAGCATTGTCAAGAAGCACTTCCAGTCAGGAGGGAGAACAGATCATTATGCAGACCTAACGATCCCATTACCTGGGTTGTCAACCCCAGTCTGGATGCAATCATCCAGGGTAAATCCACTGGGAGTCTGTTTATCCCTCAATTTCTTGTACAGGTCCGGGGTCAGCACCTTAGCCATGTGATTGTTGTGAGCTTTCAGGTCAGGGTACTCCTCCTCTGGCTTGTACTTCATCTTCAGGAGGTTGTGGCTGTTTGAGAAGGGCATGGCTGACCCTACCGCAGTCACTAGGGGAGAAAGACGGGAAGCCTATCACTGGGCGTTTGGCAGCCTCCGGACCGCCCGGGGGAACGCCAGGCACCCAAAAGGTCACCTTGGCTCACGTTCCACCCGCGCCTTTCACACCTTTGCTGCTACATCGCCTTCCACAAGCGCCAAGGAAGAGGAAAAGAAAATAAGTTCTTCACCTCCACTAGCCTTGCCCCGTGCCCACCACCCCGGCCGCAGGGGCAGAGGTCCCGCCGCCTCCCGGGTGAGGGGACGCGCCCAAGGTCAGCGGAGCAGCCGCAGCAGCGCCGGGCGGACCCGCGCGGCTCCGGTGCCGGGGAGCGGCCGCGAGCCGGGGGTGCTCGGCCCCGCCGGGACCCCGGGCCGGCCGGCCGGCGAGCTGGGCGGCACCGCCGCACCCTCGGTGCGCGGCCGCGCCTCCCCTCGCCGCTGCAGGGCGAGGGCAGCCGGAGGAGCGACGGCGCCCTCCGCGTCCGCGACACCCGGCTGCTCCCCGACCGGGGAGGGAGGGCAGCATCCGACAAGCCCTTACACAACAGGCAGGTCCCTCAGGGGACCTGGACGGGGCGAGCGTATGTAACTACCCTGCTAAATACCGGGTTAATCTGGTTTTAGAGCCCAGCCAGCCCGGCGAGCACCTGCGCCGCTCCCCACGCCCCCCGCCCCGGCTGCGCCCCTGCCCCGCGCCGCCCCTCCTCAGCCGGACCGGCTCCACCCCACACAGCGGGAGAGGGAAAAAAAAGCAAAGGAAAAAAAAAAAAAATTAAAGCCTTTGTTTCAAGGCTGCAGAACGTCTCGGCTGCCCCGGGACTTACCGCGGGCTTCGCAGCTACAGCAAGAACCTCCGCGCTGCTCCGCGTAACGCACTGCCCGAGTCCGAGTGAAGCTGCAACGGCCCCGCCGCGCATCTTTTATATAGAGCCCAAGCTCGCGCCCCATTGGCCGTTATTTATAGCCCATTCATTCCATTGGGCCGCGCAGCGGCGGGCGGGGCGGGCGTTGCGCCGCCGGCCGGGCCCGCGCTCGCCGCCATTTTGCTCGGCGTCGGGGAGCTCGGTCGGGGGTGGCGGGACCTCGGCCGCTGCCGCGGCGCTGGGGCGGCGCCGGCGCCGTTCGTTACCGCGAGCGTGAGGGCAGGAATCCGTCCGGTGTGCCACCGGCCAGGGCGCGCCACCGCACACCAGCGTGGCTGGTTACAGGCTTCACACCTTTGCCAACACCTTGGCCGAGGGTTCAAACGCAGGTCTCTTAATACACCATCCCAAAAGAAGCGCTGTGTAGTGTGCGGGCTGGCCGTGCTGCGAGCCTGGCCAGTGGCAAGTGCCCCGAGCTGGCAGAAGCCCTGAGGCGGCTGCGGATGTGGCGCCCAGCCCCCGGCAGCCCGGTTCTGCAGAGGGAGGACCTGCACCTCGCCTCCAGCACCTGCGAAACCGTGGGCTCGTTTTACAGTTCAATTTGAAAGGGAAGTAGGGTGATTGCGAAAATCGCAGTGAATCCTCTGCTCTTGTGTGCAAAAAAAAAAAAATTCTTCAGCTTTTATTGGAGAGGGGGTGATTTCCTACTAAAGACAGGCACAGGAACTCTGGGATCTGACCCATCTAAAGCTCACCTGAAATTCATGAAAATACAGACTTGCACTGGTCTTTTTGTAGGAATGAGCAGATTTGTCCCAGAGCTAAGACGCAGCTCAGAATCCTGCTGTTTGCAGAAATTAACAGTATATTAACAATGTGAATAAGTATCTTGATTTGACTTTCACCTTTACATAATAGTATCTTTATCTTTCTCTGACGTGTTTCTCACAGCAGAATCCATGTTTATCCTCCTGTCCAAACAGAGTGTAGTTATACATGAGAGTGCGGATCTGAGTTCCAGAGTTGCTTTCATTGGCATGAGCTGTGAATGTCAGGAGACATCACCTGAACCGCTCTCCCCATCACAATCCTTTCAGCACCATGACCAGTACCCTCACCTTAACAACAAACAGCATGTGCACTTTACAGAACTGCTTAGGACTTAAAAATCATAATATACATATAGAGGAAATCATTGCAAAATAAAAAGCCTAGACTGCTTCAAATAAAAATGTGCTGTGTTTGGCTGCCATCCAGATTTCCGAGTTATTCCAGGTCTGGTAGACTGAGATGCTGAGTATACAGATCTCCAGGAGAAGCCAAGGGCTCAGCATCTGTGCAAGTCCGGTATCTTCGCTTCCGGATCAAAGAACAAATCCTCTCCCTTGGTCTCCTCTGCACTTTTAACCTCACAAAGTCCTCCCCTACACACTAATAGTTTCACACAGTGCTCATGCTTCAGAATAATGTGAATCGCAAATAATGCATGGCTATACAAGTATTAAATGATTACAAGTGTAAAATTGTACCTAGAGTCCTCAATAAATTACAATAGAAATGAAATATTACTGGATTGCCTCAGCTGCAAATATAATTCTGATTGCAGATTTTTTTAATGTAAAGCACTAACATTTTTATTCTTAATTTGAAATAGAAATATACTAAAACAACCTTCTTACATTATGGCATATTTTTGTGGTGGTGTTCTCCACAAAAAAAAAAAAAAAAAAAAAAAGGCAATCAGTGTAGGTTCTGAAGGCTCCTTTTATCTTAGTCCATAATCTATTGCCACACAAACAAAGAAACAATCAACTGTTCTGTAGTGTAATTGTTCAGGAGAGTTGTGGAGTCAAGGTCACCTCAAGATTCAAAATCCAAGGATCTGTTTCATCGCATATGCTCTTCTTCTTTTTGTCTTGCAGAACAGGGAATACCAGTCATGGTGAGCAGGTAGAAGTCTCAATGTGCCAAACATTACAGCACTTCCAACACAAACACACACCTCTTCTTCACAGAATTTGGGTGACATGGAAAGAGAGTCAGGAACATAAAATCACTAAAATATATCCAATTTAGATGTCTGACAAACAATGCACCCTCTACCCCCCTCTTCTCAACACTATTTGACAAATTTCTAGCGTGCAGTAAGTCAGGAGTGGCTGGGTTTTACTCAGACAGCATTTTAAGATTTGCTGAAAGCTGTGTGTAAATTGGATCCTATCTTTGTCACAGCATTCCATGCCAGCTTCCCTAGTGACTTAATTGCAGATGCTGTGCCCTGTGTCAACAGCCTCTGATCACCCGCTTTATCTGCCTCATCTGCTGGGAAACACTGGCTTTGGATAAGCCTGTATGGCCTGTTAGACTGTGATAAAGGCACCAATACTCACTTTCTATGCTGGGATGGTATCTTAGTGAATACTGATTTATATGCTACATTTCCAGTTGGAAAGGTGGCCTGATTACTCCAGAGGTCTTTGCACTGAACTTTAACAATGAAGAATTAAAGGAAGTTAATCAAGGGCCATGCAGCTAACTTCCTAAGAGGCTTAATTATAAATGTTGTGTGGTGTGCAAGTGCAAGAGGAGATGGGTGTTAGCTAGTGAATGTGTCTTCTGAAATTACTTGCGTGAACATAATAGAGACCTGAAGAATTAGGGGATAAATACCATCTTGGAAACACAGAATAATATTCCAAATTAGGAAACAGCAAGAGAAAGTGGTTTGCTGTGAACAACTGAATTGTTTCCAATTCCTAATCTACAACTAAACACCACTTGAAAATTAAACATAACACTCATGTACCAGTAGATTAAAGAAATTGGCCATAGCTCCATCTGCTTAACTTGTCAAATGAAACTTCTCTTCCCATTTATCACTTAAAATGTATTTGCTTATTTATTATCCTTGGTGCATTTTTTCTCACTGTTTAAGCAGGCTGTTGTAAATTACTGATTGTTTCCAGTGAGCTGAGTACCTATGGAAATGAGGAGTTGCTGAGTGTCTCAATCTTGCACACAGTCAGGCCCACAGTGATCTGAACAGCAGCCCATCATGGGAAAGAAAGGACATGAGAACATAAACAATGACAAATATAACCAATGACACTAAAAATTACAGAAAATTAAACAAAGTGGGTGCAAATATAAAGGCACAGTAGAGCCATGATTGCCAGTCAGAAAAACAGCTGAGTAGGAGTTTGCAGCTTAAGAAACCTCTGAAACTGAATACATTATGTTTAGATTAGATGGAGAAGAGTTTCATAACTAACAAAGACTACTGCAATTATGTTATGGGCAGGTCAACACCATAACAAAAAATATGTTCTCACTGAAGGTAGTGGGAAAAAATCCCTTATTCTTGGTGGAACCAGATTAATTTAAAAAATCACAGATCATCATCTAAACAGCTCTCCGTTACTGGGTTTGTGATTGTGAAACGATGACTTTTTCTCCATTATTGTGTATTACAGGTTACTGGTGAATGCAGCACAGTACAGAGGATTATCTGATTTAGCTGGGAACACAACCTGCACGTCCAAGGTGATTCACATGCTGCCTGCTATGCCCATACCGCTCCCATGCCAGGTGGCCTGGGCTTGTTGTGAGCAGAAGATGAGGCAATATTCTCCTCCTTTGCTCCACCTTGCCTCCTGACTACAGCCCCCGTACCACCAGGGCAGGCAGGGCTCTCCACATCACTTCAATCCTAAACATGAGACAGAAGTAGGAGTTAGTACCATGCTGTTAGGGGGTTAGATAACAATTCTGCTGCTTCTGAGCCCACAGTGTGGTTTCTCCTGCAGCCTTATGAAATCCCTGTGAAGAGCTTGCTTGGCCTTTCCCTGAGGCTGCCCCGGGGGAAGGGCATGCAGAACTTTCTGGAAGCTGTGTGCCTGGGGGCCACGGAGGCAAGGCCCAGCTCTGCCAATGGCAAAGTCATTCCCTGGGGAAGGGGTTTCAGCCCTGCTGGCGGTGGCCCTCGAGACACCCTACACGTTCAAAGGGTGATGAACGCCAAGTTCCCACCGGGGCTGTCAGCACCCATTGCAGCTTTTCCCTTCAAGTTTCACTGACAGGGCTGCTGCCCGAGGCAGGAGCAACCCGCCGGGGTGCCGGGGGGCTGCTGAGGGTGGTCAGTGACCGCCCCCGCTGCCCAGGACCCAGCAAGGAGCGCTGAGAGGACGGGGCGGGGGCAGTCAGCAGAGCTCTGCGGGGACAGGCGCCTCGAAGGGCTGAGGGGACGGGTGTGCTCAGCGGGATGGATGCTTCGATGGGACTGGGGGCATGAGGGGCTCAGAGGAACGGGCGCCTTGATGGAGCTGTGGGCATGGCGGCACCTCAGGAGGGCTGCAGCAGCCAGGTCTGATCGCGCCGGGCACAAGCCGCGGCGGCTCCCCGGCCCCAGGCAGGGCCGGCGGGGGCGGAGGCGGCGGGAGCGTCAGCAGCCTGCGACCGAGGCGGAAGGAGGCGCTGGGCGGCTCCGCGTGTGAGGAGAGCCGGGCCGGGCTTGGGGAGGTAAAGGGCTCGGGGCACGGGGAGAAGCGTCCCCGCGGGGACGCGGGGCGCTGGGGCGAGGGCGTTCTTCTCCCGCGGAGCGGCCGCCAGGGGCTGTTACGGGCTAACGCCGCTCTCCCGCAGGCGAATGCCGCCTCTCACCCCTTCCCGGTCCAGTCCGTGCTTCTCACCTGCCGCAGTTGAGGTTCCCGGGTGCGCTGGCACGGGCCGATGCGCTGCTGGGGTGCAGGAGCCGCATTGCCGCCTCGGGATACGGAAGGGGCTGAGGGGAGCCCTGGCAGCGGGGTCACCTCCGAGCGGGGCACGGAGCGACCCGCAGCCTGCGTGTGCCGGGGCTGTGCCTGCCTCGCCTGCGGGACGCTCCTCTGCCGCCGCGCCAAGCAGCCAGGCTTCGGGAGGGGGAAGCGGCAGCCTGCCACGTCCTGTGGGAGCTGGTCAGGGAACGGAGATGTGCGCCTGGGTTATGACTGAAGGAGCACAGAATCGTGTTAGTGGTTTTATTCGCGAGGCTGCGAGGCATCGCCTGGGACGCTGGGTTTAGGTCGCTGCAGCCATGGCAAACCCAGAGAAAAGTCCTGACCCCGTGTCAGGGGGCCCCGGCTCAGTATCCCCCCACCGCCATTGCCCCCACACCGTGCAGTGACAGCGGTGCTGCAGCAATGCCCTGCCTGCTGCCCGGGGAAAATGTCACTGCGGGAGCCTCTGCACGGCCAGGCCATGGGCAATTCTGGACGTGGAGGTAGCTCGCTGTGCTCCTTGACACGGGGGCGAGGCAAAGAAACTTCCAAAATTCCTTACAGATGCCAATTTTACCCCAAACGTAGAATATAATGTGGCAGGTGAAGTCTGAGCCTCAGAGATGGGTCACCTGGGATGTCAGCATGCAATGATATGGATGGACTTGCTGTACATGATCTTAAAGATCCCTTCCAGCCTTGATTCTGATCCTCTGCTGTGACTATTAGCTGTGATAAGTGTAATGGCTCAAAGGAAGGCAAGGAAGCTGGGAGCCAGTTGGTGGAATCAAAGGGAGAGGAATTCACTCAGTGTTCCTGAAGGCCTGCTACAGGATTCTTTTGCACATGGGTGTAACTACTCTGAAAGAAACTGATTCCATTCGAGGTCCTTTCAGATGACACTTGTGAGATCTGAAAACTGCACTGCATTAAAGGTATCTGGAATGAGAACTCCTAAGTGTCATTTATGAAAGATTAAGACATGGACATAATCATAGGGTGCAAGCTATAAGAGACAGCATTAGTTCTATCTCACATAGTCCTTTATGTATGCATTTCTGAATTCATGGGGTGCCCTTACTATTTCACAAGATGTTCAGACTAGCCTTTTCTGCCTTGGCATCTGAACACCTTATGCAATAAAGCATGTCATAAACTTTGGAAGTTTCAACCACAAGCACATCTGTTTATCAACCTCAGTGACTGCCGTGGAAAAAATATAAATCTAACTGCTTAAACATCAAATTGAGCTACATGGAGTTCCAGACAGGAACCAGACTACAGACACCAGACTACACTTTGAGAACTGAAGGTTTTTAATTGAAATGATGAAGCAGGACCAAGCTCTTAAACATTCAACACAAAAGTGCTGGAATTCAGTAATTATTCTGAAACTAAAAGTAACACTGCTTTTGATTCTGCCAGGGATGGTGTACCAGAAATCTGACTTTCAAAGCCTTCTGTCATAGGCTTTAATTTCTAACTTTGGGATCCCTGTTACGTCATTAAACAATTCTTGCATTAACTGATCAACCTGCAGCTTAGACAGTTAGCTGCTTTATTTGAAAGGCAATGTCAGGTTTCATTGTAAGCCGCCTTCTGATTTCTAGATTGTCTTCTCAAAGCCATCAAAATTTAATTGTAATTCTCTAAAACAGCTCTGAGACCATGGGGCTGAAGTGATTCAACTGTTGGCATTAACTTGCAAGTGGTTGTTTACATTTAGCTGGAGTAGAGATCACTTCCCAGACAATTACTTGGCACCCCCAATGGCAAATTAAAGGCCACAATATTATTTTCTTTTGTAGTTAGTCAGGTTTATGCCCTTAGCCTATCTCTAAACGTTCATTTGGAAAACTTTCAAGTATAGTTTTGTTAGTGGTCCTAATAGCTGGTGATTGAGGTCCAGGCAAGTAGTAGAATGTCTTTATATTGTAAATAATCAAAAAATAAGCAAGAAGATGAGAATAAAAGTTAATAACATGCTCTGAGTGCTCAGGAACTGTAATTGAACAGTGTGCAGAAATGGGTGCTAACCTGCAGTAGCATTTTGGAGCAGGCTGAGTAAATCATAATGTGTTTCCCAAGTTTTCTTTAAAATGTACCATAAAGAAAAATTCTTCTTATTTTCAAATCTGTGGGATCCTTCCATTGATTGCAGTTGGATCAAGAGTACAGTGGAGAGCAGCTCCCTGAACTTCCTGAAGCTCTCTTGCTAGCATCTTATTTGCACAGTATGGTTTTGTTCTGTATTGGAGAAAATAAAATTACTTGGTTTTATATCTGTAGGTTCAGCTCCACCGTGGTCCTGTGAAACTTTCCTGACATATTTATTTTTCTCTAGGTGACAATCACCAGCCAAGTAGAAGATTGTCACCATGAGTTTTGTTGAATATGGAGATACGATAAAGGATGGTGACACGGCTATTGTGTTCCTGGGCCACGAGTCCATGTTTCCTGTGAAAGTGCAGCACGGCTCTGTAACACAGACTAAGTACGGGGTCATCAGGCATTCCACAGACCTCATAGGCAAGAAGTATGGCTCCAAAGTGACCTGCAGTAAAGGAGGATGGGTGTTCATTCTTCATCCAACTCCAGAACTGTGGACCATGAATCTCCCACACAGGACACAAATTCTGTATTCCACTGACATCTCCATAATCACCATGATGTTGGAACTGAAGCCAGGCTCCATAGTATGTGAATCAGGTAATAATTACTATGTTGAAATCCTTTATTAGCAACTAACACCAACACTTTGATGAAAAAACAGGGTTTTCTTTAAATTTTGCAAGAAGTTGCTCTTTCCACTATGATATAATTTTCCCTGCCCACATGTTGAAGAATTCTGTATCATGTGCACATGTTATCAACTGCTGGTTCTTCAAAAATTGGTGCTACCTTGGTGTGCAGACTCATTTATGTGGGTATACCTCTGAGCATGTGTTTGGTTAATTCATCTTCTTAGAACAAATAGGTAAACATCTTCATTTCCCTTTTCTAAAACTGTTGTTAAGTAGTTAAAAGTATTTGTAAATGCATTATTTAAATCAAGATTCAGGCTTTGATTTCGCAGTTTCAGAGGATGTAGTTGAGATAACCAGGTGAAAGAGACTCTGGTGATAGGGTGTTGAGCTAATAAGAGAAATAAATTGGCAGTATTTATAGATTATACTGTGTAAGTACATAAATTTAATTCTTCTTTTCCAAAGTGTGATCTACTTGTAGCACCACAACCTCATGCAAAATCACTGATTAAATACAATGGATGATGTGTTCATCACAGGGCTGTGTTTTATTTCTAAACTTGGTTTAACTCATTACAGCTTTCATGATTTTGCTTAATTTGGAAGTAAGGAGTAAAAATTGACATAAATGTTTTCTTGGTTACATTGAGTTTATAATAATGTCTTCATAACTTTATTACTACAGGCAGTATGAGGCTTGCTTGATTTGAGTGAATCTCTGAAGCTTGGAGAAATAGCAACTGAAGTAGTTTGCCCTTGTTTTTTTCTGGCTGTTTGAGCATTTTTTTAAGCAGTTTCATACACCTCCCTCTCAAGCATAGATATGGCAAAGGATCAGCATGATAGGACTGTGATGCACTGTGCTTTCTTACATTTACCATTTCCTGTTCCCACTCATGCATAATTTTGGGCAGCTTTTCAGGCATAATGACCACTTTCCAACACAACTGAGGCAGCACTTATCTCTGCACCCAGTTCCACCCGTTAAGAACCAGGCAGCATGTTCAGCTCGTTGCTGTAGAGCAGCACTTGAAGCATGCAAAGCCCTGTGCAAAAGCCCCTGATACTGTGAAAATAGCTGGGTCCTGTGAGTTTGTAATTTGGTTCGTTGGATGAGCAGACATTTTTAGTTTTGTCATGGGAAGTTTCTGTATTCAATAGCTCTTACCCTCCCTGCTATGTTTAGACAGGATGGGAAAAATAAACAACAAATTATTTGGGGGGCAAGGGGAAGAGATTGGAATTACTCCATGTCCTGGAGCAAATGTACAGAGCTGTATATAAAATATTTTCAATAATGTCAAAGGTGCCTAGAGAGGATGAAAATGTTTAATCTGTTGCTTATCTAAACAGCTAAGAAATGGAAACACTTGATGATTTCCAAAAACATTGTGAGTCAAAAGTCATAGCCACAAATCAATCCTTTTTGCTAAGGGGAAATTGTCCCCAGGTTCATTTTAATGTTTGTACTGACAATATATTGCAACTTCAGCTTTCCAGGCAAAGTGAACAGTTTTACTACTGTAGTTATGCTTGTATTGCTTGCAAGGTTCATTGTTCACAAAGAAAGGAAAGAAGAAAGAATACTATAATAAATCCATCTGGCTAACCTTGAAGCAAGACACCTTACTGCAGGTTTACTTTGAGTTAAAAACTTGACAGGTATTGACAACTGGAGCCTCCAGTGTGGTGATGTAGCCTGCTTTGATATCATCCTAATTCAGTGGTGTTTGGTGATCCAAAATCATTAGCTCTAGATTAGCCTTGTGTGGGCTAGACAGAACCAGCCCAATGGTGATAGTAGAAACAAGACAGGAAATCTGGTATAGTAAAAGTTGAGTCTGCTTCCTGCTGGTGCTGAGTTTAGGTGTATTTTAAGCATTAATTAGCGCAAAGGTCTGTCTTTTTTATTATTTGAACTTAGATATACAGTTGCTGCATGGACTGGCAAAGCAGGCTCTGTAAAAAAAAGTGGGCTCTTTTCCTCATGTCTTACTAACTCAACTGTAGAAGTGTCTCCTGTATTTGTAAGCTAGCAGAATTTTGAATTGGGCTCCCCAACTGTGAGAAGAAATGATTGAAAAAGTAAGAGGAAATACCCTCTGTGAAATGCTGTGAATATAAATGATTTTCTGCATCTTATTATAAAAATGGAGTAGGATAACCAGAGGGATTTATTTTATGTAACTTTAATTATATAATTTAAATTGATCAGTCGTGATTTGTCCTAAAAGATACAAACATATTAATACAGTTTTAATATGTTTAATCATCTTTAATAAATACATAAAGAGTAAGCTTGTCAGCAGCACATACATAATTAAAATGACCCAGGCATACTCTGTTGAGGAGGCCATAAGGAGACTCTGCATCTACCTGATGTTCCATGACAGAGGTGTAGGAATATGATCCTTCTTCTGTCTTCTGCTAATTTCTAATTTATAAAGGTATGTTGAGTTTTAAAACTGTTAGCACTGTTACTAGAGCTAATATATTTTTAAAATATTGGCCCCTGCTCTAAGAAATTAAAATATTGGTCCCTGCTCTAAGAAATTCTGCACTTGGATACAGTTTTTAACAGCCCTAGCTTTCCAAAATTTTGATACTCAAAATAGCTGCTTAAATATCTGCTGTGAGTGGCCCAGTAGTATGAAAGTTTCATTCTTGTCAGGTAACTCTAATAATCCCATTTGTGTTTATTGCATGTGCAGCAGTGCCTAGATAAAGGAAAAGACTAAATCTTTCTCTTTTGTCTCACCCCACTCTCCAAATCATCAACTTCCCAGGCTAGGTTCTCTGTAGGATAATTCCATTTGACAACAGGTTTTGAGGGCTTCACATTTATTTTTAATACTATACTGGAACCAATATGAAACCTTTCAAATATTTTTTCCAAGCAAAATCCCCTTCTTTCCAGTCTCCACACATCAAGGCTTTTTTTACTGTCCTCTCTCCATGGTGAGATGTAAATGAGTGACTGTCTTAATAGTACAGCATGTGAAATCTCATTTAATCTGATAAATCGCAGAAATATTTTGGCTTCGATGGAGCGTAGCATTTAGACAAAATGTAATTCAGTCAAAAGTACTTTAACCACCATCCCAGTGATCCTTCAGCATTCACAAAATCAGACTCACATGAGAAAAACATTAATTGGATTTTTTGTTTCCCTTCAGCTAAATCCCAAATTAAAAATCGCTAAACCCTGTTCATTGCTACACAGCAACGTGTTTCTGAGCTGAGGGACTGGATTTCTGAAGGCTGAGAGCAGTGTTCTGGGCTCTCATGGTTTCTCAGAGAAGGAGTAATAGGAGCTGCCACCCAGCCTTATGCTAGAGCTTCTCAAAAACAATTATGAAATTTTCAAACTCACAGCCTAGGCATACATTTTGTTAAAGAGTACACTCATTAAAAATTAATGAGGACTTAATGATTAATGGATACTTAATAAATGATTAAGAGTTTATTGTGGAGTCCCAGCAAGTCACCTGTATGCTTATGACTCTTCTGAAGTGCTTGTAGACTTTTTGACAAATACTACTCATGTTGTCATTATTTTTGTGTAATAAGTACATCTAAATTGTTTGTACCTCTATTTTTAGTGTAAAGTACAGATCAAAGTTATTTTGATTCTGGAATGTGCCCAAACTAATTATGTCTGTGTTTTATAATGTCTCCCTTATCTACCTCTTAGCAGCTGTTCAGGTTAGAGTGAGAGAAGAATTGAAAAACCTGATCCTTGTGTAGCACCTCTTGAAGTATTAGGAAGGCCTCATCAGTGCAAATGTCATAAACCACAACAGTCTCTTGTGCCACACCAAAGCACTGAACTGGTGCTGGGGCTCCAAACAAAGGGCAGTAGAAAAGATGTGGATCTATTGGAGCCGGTCCAGAGGAGGCCATGAAGATGAGCAGAGGACTGGGCACTTTCCCTATGGAGACAGGCTGAGGGAGCTGGACTTGTTCAGCCTGGAGAAGAGAAGGCTCCAGGGAGATCTTATAGCACCTTCCAGTAGCTAAAGGAGCTGCAAGAGAGATGGGGAGAGGGAATTTTACAAGGGCATTGGGTGATAGGACAAGGGGTAATAGGTTTAAACTGAAAAATGGTTAGGAGGAAACCCATTACTATGAAGGTGCTGAAACCCTGAAACAGATTGCCCAGAAAAGCTGTGGATGCCCCATCGCTGGAGGTGTCGAAGCCCAGACTGGATGGCTTTTGGGCAACCTGGTCTGGTGGAAAGGTGTCCCTGCCCCAGACAGGTGTGCTGGAACTAAAGAATCTTTAAACATCTTAAAGCCCAAACCATTCTGTGAGTCTGTGATGATTCTATGAACCAGACCTCTGACCATGTGAGGCATCACTGTAATGTATTCAGACTTGTGGCTGTCATGGAGCTGATGAGGAATGCTGTTCATACCCTAAAGCACTTGTTTCCAGACTTTCTGGACTCGCTTTGATCTTGTAATTTCACCTGACCACCAAGTACACCAAGTACTTTTCGTGCAGCTCTGAACCTAACCCTGTTGTTAACCATATTATGCCCATTATGTAGAAGATTCCTTCCTAAAAAATTCAGACTTTTGAATCTATAAGGAAAATGTATTTCTTTACTTGAATCTCTAAAGAAAAATTAATTCTTCGTATTCTTTTGTAGGCAGTGCCAGCCTTGAAAACCTCCCTATTATCCTTCACTTAGTTTCTCAGTCTGGTCAGTGAGCAGTGGCCCTCTCTGACCTCCAGCCTGTTGCCTAAAATTAAAATGCATGCTTCAGCATGGTGTCCATGACAGATAGGCAGATAAGCTAATTTTCTGTCATGGAAACTGCTTGACTGCAAAGTGAACTTTTTTGATTAGGTGTTTTCTTTTTCATCCACAGTTCAACTCCTTGAAATTCTCTCCCTCCCTCTCTTCCTTCTCTCTGTCCCTGCTCCTCCTGTGTCTTACCTCTCTTACCATGATTTGGACCCTTGACTATCTTCCCAGGAAGATATTTGGGTTAATTTCCATCAAATGCTTAATATCTTTTCATGTATTCATTATACAAGTCATTACACAAACATGTCATGTAGAGTGAGCAGTCTGTCTGGTCAATGTTTCTTGATAGAATTTAGCTGTGGAGTTGTTAGCTCTGCCTCAAGATTAATTTTCCCTTGGTTTTAAGGCTCCTTCCGTTCTCATGGCTGATTCATGACCTATCTTACTATTTGTTAGGACTAAGTGGTGTAGCTAGGAGACAAATAGAGCAACACTGTCATTGTTTTGTTGTATTTATGCATTTCAGAGTATCTTAGGTAGCCAAATTTTGCATCAGAAGCTTAAGTTCTCCTAAAATGTTACTAGATATTTTAGAGACCCAGTATTAAATAACACTTTGCATACTGTTCTTTTATTCCTGTTTCCAAGCAATATGAACCTTTTTATGCGCTTAGGAGTTTATTCAGCTTTATTCCAAAATGCTTTTGCTTACACACAGCTGTACACATCTATAAATCCTAAATGACAAATTGTAGCTCTTTTTTAAAAAAGAAGCACCACGATGAAAAACTTCTAGGGAAGACAAGCCAAGCAATAGCCTGCAAAGAGAAAATGCAGTGGAACACAGAATCAGGTCACTTATATTTATGGTATGGGTAGGATTCCAGGAGATTAGACAAATATCATTTGCAATAAGGAAGCCAGACTAACAACAGAAAGCAGTGTAAAATGTACTTTGTATACTATATCAGTTAAGCACTGTGCACAATGCCCTGATGACACTCAGTCTTGGCAGTATTCCGTGCTGAAATAACATGCTTTATTTTGGAACAGCTCAGATACTGTCCACTGCAACTTTTGAGAAGGTGAGAATTTATTTTAACATGGCCATTGTTTCAAGATGGCTGAGGTGTGTGGCGGCTTCTCTGTGGAAAATCTGTCACTTGAATAAGCAGAGAGTGAGAAGAACAGATCTGTTGGAGGTCAGGGCAGTTGAGAAGTTCGTCTGATAAATACTTTTTTGTTTGCAAATTAGAAGGAAATATCAATAGGTGCTGAGCTAGAGTGTTTTATATAGATGTCCACTTGTTAGGATGGAAATTCTAAAACTGCAGTGCTCTGCTTGTTTTGGGAGAGAGGGAAGAAACACTCCCCTAGAGTTTATATGTATCAGAGAAGGAGAATGTCATGTGCTTGAGCCCAAGAAGAAGGAAAGGATACTAAATCAGTGTGCAGGGCCATTAGCCCCTTAAATCATGGGTGTAACACAGGAGTTTAATTCCTGCCTTTGGACTGAAGTGGAGCCCATTCCTGGGTTACACTGTGCTGATCCCCTGCACAGTGCTGCCTCCTCAGATGTTGAGCTTTGAGTGTGGCATATTGAGGCCCCTGCGGTATCTCATTAAATGCCTGCACTGCAGATGTCTGCTTTTTGACTAAGATGTTTGAGATCACAGAACAGTCAATGTAAAAGAGCATCACATTTTCCAAATGAAAATTAGCAATGACATAAGTGCTCACCTAAGTGAGCTCTGAAACAGCAGCTGTGCTGTTAAGGTTGTCTTTGATACAGTTTGAATTGTTGTTGTTTTACTTCTCTTCTATAGAGTCCCATTCATTATTAAAACATGGTAGTCAAGTGGGCATTGTCCTGTGGTAGAGAGCAAACAGTTTCTAAGGCTATTTATTGTGCAGGCTGTCAGAAAGAGAGCATCCTGCTGTAAAAATTATAAATTAGTTGTTCTAGTTGTCTTACCTTCTGCTTTCTAGGTCATATCAGGAACACAGACATTTCACTGCACCTCTATGAAAAAGAACACCCATTGAAGTTCTTCCAGTTCGGATCTTGCCTCTTCTGATATAAAATATTAATTTTTGAGTATGCAGGTTTTGGTTCATTTCTATACAGGTAATTCAGGTATGCTATTTCTGGTTTGGTAGCATTCTAGTATGTCTCCAGTAGTACTTCTTGGGTTTTGCTGCTGTCCTGACTGATTCTGTATCAAGCTAAGGATACCTTTCATTTCCCAAGGAAACCTGTACCTGACTAGAACTTACTCCAAACTGATGCCTAAGACTCTTAGAGTCATATTTTGCTTTTTATCAGTAGTGATTTTGAAATAAGGGCAAAGAGAAATTGAGATGGTTGCAGGAGGACAAAAGTGTTGAATGTTGCAGATTTTCAGGAAAGAAGGTGAATATAAACATTAATTTCCCCTTCTACAACGTCACAAAAACAGAGGGTTGAACCCCTGTCTTGTGCAGACAGTGCTGATTGGGCTTTAGGGCTTGTGGCAGGTATGGACTCATGCCAGACTCATATTAATGGATCACATCAAATGTGCTGATCTATTGGGCACATGAGAGTTAAGGGTCATCCTCATGTCACATGTCTGGGTTCAGAATATATATTCTAGGAGAGATTTTACAACAGTGGTTGATTCATAACCATCTTGTTCCTTGTTTCCTGCAGTTTTGAGAGTGTTGTCACGGAGAAGGCAGGCAGCATCTTCAGAAATACTCTCATTAATAATATTAATGTGACAGAATTTGACGTGTTAAAATGTGGTACATATGTATTGTTCTCGTGTTTGTGGTAGCCAGTCAACAATAAATAATTCCTGGCAACCTTGTTTAACAAAAGCTCTGTCTGTAATACACCTGCAAGTGGTGACTTCCAACATCTTGGTTTTAGTTCCGGGTGTAGCTTGGAGTGTGTCTGAATAAAAGAAGACTTTTAGAAAAGAAGCCAAAAAAATCTTAATGGGTTTTCCTATGGAGGAGACAAATGGTATCTTCTGTGGTGTTTTTAAGAACAGATTTAAAGGGAAAGTGATTAAAAATGTAAAAGAATATGAACAAGGAAACTGGATACATGCACAAGCTGCCTCGCTCTTCTGCTTACAGCACAGGCTAATCCTGTAGATTAGCAGAGAGAGATGCAGAAAGCATGCAGCACTACACATTTGAGAGGTAGAGTAATTAAATTTCCTCATTTTACAATAGTTCTCAGTTGCGTAATCCTCCCTTTTGGCATGAAATGTAAAGGCAGAATTTCAGTCTTTAGCATCCTGGGAGCAATAGTTCCCTGCTTTTGTCATTAAAAACATATCAATACTATTTCTTTGTTATGCACATATATCGAGTTTTCACACACATGGCTGCTGTGCTACCGTTACTCCTTTGACCAGGGAAAAGCTCACTTTGACATTGAGATCCTTCAACTGCTGTGACAGGGTGGTTTTTGATGTATGCACATGTAGGTGTGTTTTGCTTTTCCTTTGTTTTATTTAACAGTACTTTGAATGCCTGTATGTTCACTTTATTAAATGCATGTGTGTAAATGTTTCTCTCTTCTCTTGGACCTCTCTGAAGCCAGTGCTAAGATCTGTAGGTCTCGTCTCTAACCTGCCCTGCTGGAGTCAGAGCCCTCTCAGAGGGATGCAGAGGAGCAGTGCCGATTCCCCGGTGCAAACAGGGGCCCTGAGCTCTGTTTACAGTCTGAATGTCTCCCCTTTCAGAGCTGTCGGATTAAATACAGTGCCACAGCAGTGTTCCTCCCCTTACATGACTAGAGGGCAAGAACCTGGCATCTGCCAGTGAACTCAAACTTCCTGGATGATTATGGAAAGCACTGCACCAATTAAGCAGCTGTACCAGCCCCTGTGCCCCCTAATTAATTTCCTTTCTACTTGTTTCTGAGCTGCTGTACTTCAGATTCTGTCCTTTTTATGTTTTTTAAGATTTATATTAGCTGAAAGAACTTGCCTCAGGCTGAACAGTCATTAAAAATAACTAGAAATAGATTTATTTCTACAGGAGAAATGTGTTATAAGCACAGAACTATGAATCAATAAACACAGAGAATTTGGGGTTGCTGTGGTATTTTGAATTTGGGGGATTACTCCATTAAATGCCACTTGAATTACTAATTTGCAATGGAAATTGGTATATGGGTGTTTTCTTAAGTGAAAATCTTTGTTATTAGTCATCCATCTATTTAATATGCCAATGGATCATTTAAAGTAAGTTTCCTAAATTATCAAACTAAAACAAGGAAGAAAAAATCTTTGTCTTGTCAGTCCCTGTTTGTATGTGGTAATTGTAGTTACCTACAATTTTGTGATAGATTTTGTTACACTAAGTTAAGCTTGTGTAGGCATATATGTGTATAAGTGACCTGTGAAAACAGATGTTTGATCAGTGTGGCTGCAAGGAGCCAAGGGGCCTTAGTTTTGGGTAATTCCAGTGGGAGTTGAGGATATCTCTTAAGAGATCTGTGCATAGCAAACTGTATCCTGAAGGCCATTTGTTTGCATGGATATTAATAGGATTTTCAAGCATGGACCCATGCCAACATCTTTTCTTTGTTTAGTGAGTATGAGGTTTTGAAAATCTGTTTAAAAATTGCCTTAATCTCTTTTCACCCTAGAAGAGTCTGACACTTTGAAAAAAAAACTCTCCAGTTCATTTCCCTGAATTTTTCCTGTTACATTTATTTCCTTGGATTGTCTAGTTGCAGTTGTTAGAGCTATAGCTGACCCTTGGCATTAGTTTCCTACTCCAGGGACATAGGACAGATTCTGGGTTTGCCAGATTTTTTAATGAATGCTTTGGGGACCCGGAAGACTGTTTCCTAGGACACCTAGTCCCTCCCTCCTTGTGAAGGAAGGACTGTTCTCTTTCAGGAGCTGAGCCAGTGGTTTGTGTTCTTTTGAGTTTCGAACAAGTGTTCCAAGCAGGAAGATGAATGCAAAAGGCTTTGGTTCTGATATTTGGCTCTGACAAACTCAATTTCATGGCTTGTTTGTCTTTCCTAGGTACAGGCAGTGGGTCCCTCTCCCATGCTCTCATCCGGACGGTGGCTCCCACCGGGCACCTGTACACAGTGGAGTTCCACCAGCAAAGGGCTGAGAAGGCGCGGGAGGAGTTTCGGGAGCACGGGGTGGAGCACCTGGTCACTGTGACCAACCAGGATGTCTGCAAAAACGGCTTTGGGGTTTCAAACATTGCAGATGCTGTGTTCCTAGATATTCCATCTCCATGGGAAGCCATAGGACATGCCAAGTCAGCATTAAAAGCTGAAGGTAACTGCATTTTTCTCTCTCTGTTCAGAAAGCACTGTGCACATATCTCTGCCTTTGAGCCATACTCTAGATGTGCTCCGTTCCCTTGTGTGATCACTTTTCTCAAATGTCAGTCTCCAGGCATTTCTAAGGCTATAAAACTTCAAAAGGCGTCTTCAATTTACAGTGGAAGATTTGAAAGGAGAAGAACAAATTTTTCCTGCAGGCCCATGAGAGCTGCTACAATTAGCATGGGCAGTTTATAAAAACTCCTTTGAACCATTCTCAAGTGCATTTTGCAAGATCTGAGGTGTGTGGGAAGCAGAAGTAACAATAAATGCTGAAAGCTAATTTCTTCGGCAATTCAGTGGAAAGGTGTTTGTATAAAAGGTGTTCAGCCTCAGTTCACATCAATCATTGCAGATTTGTACCCATTTAACAGAACACCCCAACGGTAATGTTAAAAAAGATGTGGTTACACTGAAATATGCTTGCCAGTTTATGTGCTAAATCTTTGTGGTTGGAGCTAGTGAGAAGTTTGCCACTGGATGCAGTGGGAATGGAACATAAAGGATGTTCTAGCTTATGCCACTTACTCTGGGCAAGTGAGAACTGATGTTGAGATTTTGCGCAGATTTCATCACTTTATTATACCTCTATTCCCTATTGAAAAATAAGCTTCAGTGAATAAATAATTCTTTTATCCTGGAATAAGTTTTAATTAATTTCATAATTGTGTGGATCTGAATTACCTTTTGCCAAATTGCTTCCATCTACAAAAGTAACTTCTCTAATAAAGAGAGCAAGGAGTGCTGAACAGTGTCCATGCTGGGACATGTGTTTAAAAAAAACTTGATTATATGCCAAGGCCCAGTTCTTTGTTAAAATATGTAATCACAGGCTGGACTTCAAGTGAATTACTAAGTCTTTTTGAAATCACAAGATTGAAGTTTGTTCTTAAAGGTCACTGAATGTGCACTGCCTTGCTGAGTCAGGACCAGCCCTGCTGTTAGGCTAACTCAGCTGCTACTGAAAATTTTCTAGAAAGCTTTGTGATACCCATGTAATACGCTTTCTTTAAAAAATGTATCTAAAAAATAGAGTGAGCCTTGTTAGCACTCTGTACCTGCAATGGTTACAGCTCAATTTGTAGCAGCTTTCCAGTGTGTCCTGGGGGGAAAGAAAATCACTGCACTGTACAATGCCCTTCCCATGCTCAAATTATCTAATCTAGTGAGCACAACACTCAGCTGACTTCCCAGCTTAGAAGGCGCTGCATTGCGCAGTCCAATTTGAATTATTTAAGTGGTGCATGCTTAGAATACTAAGCAGGGCTGCTTGAACAGTTCCAAGTTTTGAATCCTTGTCTCACTCCAGCATTTGAAATCGTAGAAAATATAATACAGTCCCAAACCGGCCATACCATCTGGCTATGCTTTTCTGTGCTATGCTACAAGGTTACATCTGCTTAGGCAATATAAATAATACTTCACAATCCCACATTTTTATGTTTGTGAAGTGGCGTCATTCACTTTATGAACCACTCAAAAGAGGAAGTTGCTGATCCTTGCTGCAGTTTTTGCTGCAACCAGTCTCCCATGTCTGAGATCTGGTACTGGTCTAAGGCTCCTCTTTTGGGCAACTTTGTACCTGACCAACTGGGTGCATTTTTAAAATTTTGCTATTTTGCATATAAACAAAAACCGGTTTTCATATAAAATATAATTGATTGTAGTAGTAATATGTAAAAACTTACACACTTTTCCTGTTTTATCCTGAGTCATGCGGGTAGTTTTGTTGTGGTTTTTTTACTGCTGTTAAATCTAAAATATGGCAGAAGGTTATCTGTGACTGCTTCCCTTTCCCTACCACAGACAGATAATTTAGCAGTGCTTCTTTGTTTTGTTTTCAAAGAGCTAAACCTCTTCTGCAGTACAGCCTGTGCACATTCTGATGTTATTGAACCCCGTTCAGGGTTTGTGTAGTGATAAAGCATCACTGCAGGAAATGAGTTCCACTCTTTTCTGTCCACACCCTCTCTCTCAAATCTGGACAGGGTCACATTTGAACCATTCACACTGTGGGTTTTTTTGTGATGTGCCATGCAAATATCACAGCTATACTGCCAGATAGTGGTAATTTAGTCCCTAAAGTCTTAATGTATTTTGAATTAAATGAGAAGTAAGCAAATTCAATATATAGCATTAGCTACTCTCTTCCTTAAAACCTCAATACTCACAATAGAGAGTTCAGCTGAGACAATATGGGAGAGTTCTTAACTTTAACAAAACCTCAGATCAAAACATCAGATCAGTATTTTCACTTCCACTTCAGCTCAAGGTCCTGAATAGTTGCCTCTCCTACCAGGCTGAGTGTTAATGATCCTCTTTACAGAGTGCAATTATCACTCACGGTATGCCTTACAGGATGCTGTAAATACACTACTTAGAGCAGCTTGACCTCCCATTTAAAGCACTGCCAGCCTCTGAAGAGCTGAACGAACAAAATGGCACAGTACGTTTGTGACTAGAAGGTTCTTGTTCTGTGGTGATGCTCTCTGCCGATGTTCAGGTTTGCATCTCAGCTGCATCCTTTTGTGCTGATGTCACCAGTCACACTTCCAGCAGAAAAGCTGCTTGTAGCATCTCTGAGGCACTGCTGCACTGCAGAACTTCCTTTCATTTCCAGATCTGCACTGTTTTTCTTCTGCAGCATCTGCTAGTTAATGCTTTTCTGTTGTCATAGCTGCTGTTCCCAATATCTGACCTTGTTGGTTTTTGCAAAGTTGACATTAACCCCTTCAGCCTAAACTTTTAAAAATTAGGAAAATGAGAAAATTGTGAGGTAACAAAAATATCCTCAATATTCTACAGTTCTTAAATGCCCTGAAACTTTTGACTCACAGTCATTTCACAGCTGAATACTGTAGTGCTTTGAATATAATTCTGCACCCACCTACTCTACTCTCATAAATACGGTCTATTTCTTCCAAAGCTGTGGAAGATGAGGGAGAAACCCACTGGTACAATAATTTTCATACAGATTTTAAATTTTCAGGTAGGGGGATGGAAAATTACAGCCATGTATTAGGGTGGATTAGCCTCTTGTATTTGAAGTTGCTCCTTGTAACAGTCTGAGTCACAAAATTATTAAAACCACCTCTCTTTTATTTCCTTTCTTTCTTTAAAGATTTTACTCTTAAATTCAGATTTTCCATTCCCTCTGGAGCATTGTAAAACCACTAAATTATGAGTTTATCAAATTGTGATCCTTGGAAACAACTGAATCAGGTAACAGTGCTGTCAATTCTCCTCCCAAAACTCTGCAGGTAAAGTTCACTTTGAACATCTCCCTCTTTGCCCTCTATACTTCCATGTCCTTGTAGGAAACCTCACTGGCTATTTTTCGTGAGCTCCAGAGTTTATTAATGATCCCAGTTTTAAACCACCCAGGTGTGGCTTTGAGGTTCAGCTTCTGTTCCTCACCATATGAAGTACTTGGACTACTAATTCATCCCTAGCTTGGGTCTGTCAGGGCTTGGTAGGTCAGGTGCACACGGTGGGCCTTCCTGAAGTACAGGTGATTCTTTCATGTGTACAGAGTCAAGCAGAAGGATTCCTGCATCAAAATCCTCACTGTGGAAGCCCAGCCAAAGCTACTGGCTTTTACACAGTTTGAAGAAAGTAGTTTGGGATTAAAGGATCCCTAAAGAAAGTTGTTAGGTTTTCTTCCCCAGTATGGAGCCAACTGAATCTTTAATTTCCTTGTTATTTGCTTTTACCAGCCCATAATAATGAGCAGGAATAAATTCCTTTTGAATGATGCACCTACAAGTGCAGAGGTTAAGGTCACATTTGCAGAAAATCACATCAAGCTCCTATTAATGAGCTGGCAAGTGATTTGGAGAAAACTCTCTTTTCTGAATCAAGAAACATCCTTTAATTTCTTCCAACAGCCAAATCCTCTAATTTCACTTGTCAGGGAAGCTACATCAAATCGCCCACGAGCACACGCACTTAAAGGACATTCTGTCCCCTTTTGCAGAGACAATATTTTTAGTGTCCTACTAGCACAGAGTAAATGCCACAGTAATGCTGTTCAGTGACTCTCCTGCCTCACCCCTACACAATGATAATGCCTGTGTGGTTTTTTTCTTCTTCCTTGAGATCTTTGTAATGTAATCTTCCAGTTATGACAATGCATTGAAGTCCCAAAACCTAAGCTGTGTTCTTTTGCCAGAGGTAAAAATGTTGTGCTGTATTCGTTATGTCACAGAATCATTCTAAAATTATTGGCCCTTTTCCCTAAAACTTAATGGTGCTGCGCTACATGTGCATCATCTGAATAATCCTGGAATGATGAAAGAATCTGTCACAGCGCTCATACAATAACCTACAAAAATAAGAGCACGTTTCTTGCACATGTTTTCTGTATCATGAGCACACACTGGAGTTCTTGTCAATTGATAGCACTAAGATTTTCCACAATTGAAACCTGATAGCACTTAATAGCTAAACAGAACTGGTAGAGATGTTAGTCCTTGCTCAGACAAACCACAAACAAAATTGTTTGTTAGAGTTGCACAGGAACGTTCTGGCAAATTTTGAGGCACTGGCTTCTTGTAGAGATGCAATGGTGGGTCCCTCAAATAACAATTAGAAACAGTCTGTTGAAATGTACAGTACTGTGTGGATGAAAATCTACTTCCCTCTTCCCTGAAGCTCCCTTTTCTTATCATTCCAGTCTGAACTGTACTTCTATTTTCATGTCCTCTCAACCCTGTTGTTTGTTACAATCACTGCCAGGACTGTGTGGGCTTGTTCCAGGCTATGGATTCAGGACATTTAACCTCTCCATTAATGCTTCAAACTAACTCACTCCCTGTAAAACTGAAGGTAGAAAAAAACTTGAGTCTTTCATACAGTCTCATTATTCTCTTCTCCTCAACTGTAGCACTTGTCAGATGCATTATACATGAATAAACACATTTTTAGACAGCTCCTGAGATCAAAAAGCTCACACAGCTTCCCAATGTGAACAGGATTAATCTCTCTTAATTACTATATCAATTTATGGTGACACACAGATCTCATTAACCAAATTTAGGAACGGTAGCTTTCCTAAAAGGAGAGCTCTGAAAGGACACAAACCCAATTTGTGTACAAAAATGTTTCCATTCAGATGTTTTCACTGCTCTCTAGTCTAGTCCATCCCTTTGTGATCCAGACAGAGCAATGTGCCCCAGGGAGGGAGTTCATGTCTTTTCTTCATTCACTTGGCATGGCAAGACAAAGCAATGAATATTCAAGTCCTTTAAGCCCTTGAAGCCTCTTGGTGTCTAAAGGACAAGAGGGCTCTCAAAGAGTCTGAAAACTGTGAATGCTGAAATCTAGATTTATATTTGTTTGGTGATTGTGATAAGGGGTGTTGCTTAGCCAGTAGTCCAGCCGGGTACAGAGGGCAGCCCACAGTGTGCAGAATTCAGAAGCATCTGCTCTGTTAAAGATGTCAGTGTCTCTGCTCCTGGGACAGATGAGCATGTCCTTCTGAGTGCTGGTTTTCTATTTCTTTTTTGCAGGTCTAAACACAGCATAGGAATTGAAACTTCCCAAATATTTCTATTTTAGACAGCCTCTCTCAGTCTGGAACTGCAATTTTGTTTTTGCCTTCCAGCCGTCTGCTAATTGTAGCTTTCCAATCTTCACTCCTAATATCTGCTTAATCATGTAATTCCAGCCTGTAACTGCAAGTCAGATCTGGCCTGCCTGACAGTACAGGAAAAAGCAGAGGGGACTCCTCTCCCACTTGTTGGGATCTGTAAGGACAGATGCTTGATGAGTTTGCTTCTAAGCCCTTTGTAGGTATATTTATTTGGGAGGGATGTATAAAAAATAACGATAACTATAGGCATGAAAGGGGAAAACAAAATTGACAGAACTATTAAAACCCATTGGATGGTCTCAGGTAGATGGAATACCAGCAGTTCACTGTTTTCTCATCTTTCACACCTGAGAAACTTCCAGCAGTGCAGGAAGTAACATTATTTTTTGTGTTTGCCTTCTGCATATTTGCTACTGCAAGCAAGAGCTTTCTTCCTTACCAAACGGCTTGAAAGTCTGTTTTCTGTAACCCTACTTCCCCCAGCAGTTGTGAGGAGGCAGCCTGATAAATCTTCACCAAGTTTGGTGTTGACGGGCTGTGCTCAGCTGACCAGCCCCAGGCAAGAGGAAGGGTGCTCTGCCTTTAATTGAAGGCTTGACAAGAACCGTAGGTGGCTTTGCAGCTTGTGTGGCAACAGCTGTGTGCAGGCTTTGCGTTTTTGACTGTAAATCCACAGCATGTGAATTCAAAAGCCTAAACGTACCTTCAAACCCTTCGAGTCAGAATAAATAAGAACAGACTTACTGTAAATGTAAATATATTTTGCTTTTTTGATTGCAATAGAAAACTTCAAAACCAAAAAGCCTGAATGAAGTAGTAGTGTGGTCTCTCAGATTCTTGTTTTGCAGACAAAGAGTTATTGTGAACTGACATTTAGTTAAGTCAGACATTTGTTCAGTTCCCTACACAGTAAGAATATAAATTCTTTCATTGTAACATGTGTGCATCATAGTAACTTTCTTACTATGTAACAGAATTTTTTTCCTGAGCTTTTCTGTTTTACATCTGCAACCATGGTAGAGTGTGTAAGTTCTTTGGGCAGAAAAGATTAGCTGTCAGAATCAGGAACATTTTGGTAGTGCTGGCCATCCTAATGAACATACAAATCTAATTTCATGGGAGTTAATGGACTGGGCGTGCAATTAAATCAGCATCAACAGACTTGGTTCATAAAGACACATACCAGCATTAGTTTTGCAAGTGATTATTAGATTTGGGTTTTAATTGTCATTCTAGGGAATTACTTGTCCAGGATACTTTGTTCTGAAGATTCATGATAAGAACCCCTTGGTGTGGAGACTTTATTTGAAGACTAAAATTAAATCCTACTTAGCGTATGGTGGATTAATGGTTGTGGAAAGTGTTCTTCCCCAGGCAGTACCCAGCACATCATTGCTGCACAGCAACTAGAGTGCTACAGTGATGCTTTCAGACCTGATGCTTTCTTTTTTTAGAGATCTGACTTTAGAAATGAAAAAGGGAAAAAAAAGGGAGTTTGAGATAAAGCAGGCTTCATGTAGTCCCAGCATTGCCTCTATTTTTAGTAGGATGCTTTGCTCTGGCTTGCACGGGTTCTTTAACTACTTAGATGACTGGTATTGGAAGGTTTGACACTGGAGCCCAGGAGAGGGCTGGGAAGCAATGCAAATCAGGTCAGCAGGCATTTTCATCTAATTGTTACAAATGAAACAATAGCTGAAGCTGCATTGCCCAGTGTTCCTTTCTCCTGCACAAAAGCTTTTCAGGAAGGGCAGTTGCCTTGGGGGACACTGTGTCCCGGGTGAAAGCACATGCCCTGGCCTTATGGCAGACAGTGTCCTTATAATTCTTTGATCTGATTTGCTGTGGCTTTTCAGAGTAAATCTGAATCATTCTATTCTCAGCTGTTAAGGTGACATTGTAGCAATTAGAAAGGTGTAGGGGGCCTATTAATAGTCCGTATTAAGAATCAAAAATCAGAACTGTGCATAGACAAGGAGACAAGTGTTAGTTTATAACTTAAAAGTTCTGTCCTAGCATTTTACAACATTCACTGTAAGCCTGCACAATGTGATATCCAGTAAACTCCAATGCTCAGGAGACATGCTAGTGAGCTTGACTAAAAGGGTAAAGCCTTAACAGCACTCCATCTATGGCCTGGAGAGCTCCCTTTATTCTGTCCACGCATACCATCGTCCTCAGCTGAACACAGCCGCTTTTGTCAGGGGCGTGTGCACGCGCGCTGGGGCTCCAGCGCTGTGCAGTGTGTGGAGAATGACTTCTGCCTTTGTGTACGTGCCAGCTGCAGTTTGCTGCCTCAGTCCAGAGCAGTGGAGAGTGATCCCAAAAGAGTCGCTGCTCTGAAGGGATCAACTTTAACAATTCTGCTGTGAACAAATGTCGAGGGTAACATTGGATGTGGGAGATGAATGAAGTTGCTGTTGTCATTTTTAAAGGGTCTGAAGCATCCTGTGGAGTTGTCCGTGTTTGATTTTGTGCTGACACTTTAAACCAAAAAACTTGCCATGTGAAGATTGTTTTCACTTTGTATAACTGTAATTCTATGGGCATCTGGGAGAATTTGAAAAAAGATGAAAAGTGCTTCATTTTGGCTTTTGCCCTCTTTTCCACTACCTGTCTTATTTTGCAGGTGGCCGCATCTGCTCTTTCTCCCCCTGCATTGAACAAGTTCAAAGAACCTGCCTAGCAATGGAAGAATATGGTTTTACAGAGATTAACACCTTGGAAATTCTGCTCCGAGTGTACAATGTAAGGACAGTTAGCTTGCAAATCCCTGACCTTGGAAAAGCAGCTGAGGATAATTCTAGCACTGGCTTTGACAGCAGCAACCCATCACATCAAGACAGCCCGTGTGCTAATCTGCAGCAAGGGACTGTGCAGTTCAAGAGTGGCGTGCCACTGAGGGAGGTGGTTGGGCACACGGGGTACCTGACCTTTGCCACCAAGAGCCTGGTGTAGTACCTGCCCAGTTTGTGCAATCTGGAGTGGAGTTGGTGTGTATTCTGTTTTCATGGCTCTTTTTTGTATGGCATCCAAAGTTTTACTTGTCAGGGAATTCCATATATAGTCAGATTTGGTTGGAATATGCTTTGTTTAAATAGCACACCAGCATTAAGCAGAGCAGCATCAAGGGAATGTTGAAACTCTGGAATGGTGCTCCACTTGCTGTCAGAAAGAAGATAAATTAATAGCAAATGGCCATTCACTGGAATGTGCAGAATTAAGATCTCTCACAAGAAAGCAAAAACAAACAACAGACAAATTACAAATAAGTTGGATTTTTTCCTCCTTTTTTCCTGAATTACTTTCCCAGGTTTATGTTTTTATTTTTTTCTTAGCACCACTGGACACTATTTTTTTAACTTCTCTAGTGTCTGTGTTGCTCTGAAGAATGTGCAAGTGCCTACTTCCTCCATTTTAGATAAGAAAGTTCCAAGATTATAGAGTTGCCAGCATAACTGTTCACAGAATCAGTGTTTCTGTGGAATAGTGTTCCGGAGGATTATTGGCAACACTCAGGAACACAACCTCTTACTCCATTCCAGGCTGGCATCTGCAAATTATTTTGACTACACAGAGGTCAAAGAAGTGTGGTAATTGTTGGATTTAATTTAAATTGGTATATTGTGCTCATCAATTTGTAGTAGAAATTTGAACCTGGATCCATACAGTCATGTTCAAATAGAACAACCACTTGAATAGTTAATGAATCCACTGTGAAAATTAACTGAACAGCTGGCTAATATTATCTGAGCACCTCTTTGTAAGTGGTGTGGATGAGGTTCCAGTTGTTTGGTGATTTATTTCCATTATGGTGTATTGTCTTTATGCAGCTGAATGACAGAAAGATTGCTTTTGGCTGGATTTCTGTCTCCAAATTACATCAATAATGCACACTTAGTAAAATTCTCAACCAGCCTTATTAATTAAGTTTTCAGATCATTTACTCTTTGGTCTTCCATACAGAGCTGGTGGGTGTGATGAACTGTTTGAATGCTGGATTACATTTTGTATTTATAGATTAAAATAATAATGCAAATTTATTAAGTTCCCTCTTTTTTTTTTCTTATTTTATTTTTAACAGTAAATTCACAAATATTCCTATTCCAGCAACAGGTGCATTTAGCATTTAGCTGTGCCTTGCATTTGGTACCTGAGCATATCGATTGCTGTGCAAGAGAAACAGCCATTCATAAACTACTGCTTGAACATTTAACCTGATATCCCTCCCCCATTCTTGACAAAAATAAACAAAGCTAAGCTTTTAACGTGTTTCAGCAGAACCCTAATCCATAATGGTTTAAAGAGAGCTCAACCGATCACGACTGCAAAGATAAACTGTTGAGCAGATTAAAGGCAGAAAGCAATTCTGTTCAGCTAAATCAGTTATGTAAGTTGGCCTACAACTGCAGCATATCCTCAGAAATTATGGGAAAGTTCCCTTTCTGCTGCTGTCCATGTTCTCCAGGCTGTGCAGTAAAGCTGCTGACGTGGTGCGTGGGGTTTGGTGGCTCTGTTAGCACATGTGTGCTTGTCTTTGGGGTTTGGTGGCTCTGTTAGAACGTGTGTGCCTGTGTTTGTGTGTGCACATGTTTGTGTGTGCTGGGTTCACCACCCAGCAGCACAGCAAAGCACAGCTACTGACAGACCCCAGAAGAAAGGATGGGGACTTACAACCACAAGGTTCTCCCTAACTTCCTTCAAGGTGGCCCTCATTCACTGACAAGGGGGATCCCTAAGCTTCTCCAGGGATAATTCCAGCCCCAAACTTGATTGGTCTTTCCAGACAGAACTTATTTTAAAGTAATGTAACATCTAAACAGGACTAAAAAGGAACAAAGTCATGTTTCAGTACTACAAATAGATATGGAATGGAAATATCAATGTGTCTTCCTGGAGTTTGAAACAAGGCTGATGCCTTTTTGCCTACAAAGCCCAATTCAAACCCCTTGAAATAAACCATTGACTTTGCTTGGTCCCATATTGATTTAATCTCTGCTGAGGAAGGGCAAGCATTGCATAAGAAGGGAAGGATTTCATTTCTGTCTTTGCAATCTTTAAAGGGCTTTCTGTGTTTTTGTTGCTGATGGCAGCCATGGCCAGCAGCACTGCACCACTTCCTGCTGTTGCTTTGTTATCAGGGTCACAGGGAGGATCCCACCCTGTCCAGTGTGGACAGTACTGTGCTGCCAGACCCCCCACTGTTTAATGCTGCTTATGGTCACCTGTGTCCTACATTCTGGCTGCACTCCCTGCCAAAACTGGTAGATCAGAAAGATGGGTCTTTACCTCCCCACTGGGGAAATCTGCCTGGGCCATACTTTTAGAGACTCATTTCTCTTCTGAATACATTTTAGTCTGCAGTATGGAACGAAACACTTCCTGCCCTGGTGCAGTTCAGTCACATGTTCAGGTGCACCTTTCCACTGCTGCTATGCACCAGGATGCCTCAGTTGTGGACGAGCACTAGGACACAGCTCTGCACAACAGCCAGGTCCCATTGTGCCCTATGCCCTGCAGGCTGGCATGGAGAGCAGGCTGTGACACCTGGCAGCCTCCAGGGCACACAGCAGTGACTGAGTGACATAAGAAACACGCAGAGCTCTGCTGCTGTTCACAGTTTACCTGTGTTTTAATTAAAGCATCACAGATCTGTATCTCACTGTGGTTTTTTCCTGCCTGCCTGTTGGCACAACACTATTCTCTGAAGATGATTGTAAATCCTGCTTGAGAACTTTAAAGAGACAAAGTGGCAAAAATTCTAGGAACTCACTCTTCTGCTTCATTTCCTGCTCTCCCTTCTCCTTAGGTACTTTGGGATACGTGATGGTGAGGAGATGGTTCTTCCTGGGAAGCATTCCAGAGATGAGGGTTCTGGTTCACACTCACTCCCTTGAGAGTACATCTGTGCTCCTTTAGTGCTGGTGAACAGGATGATTGAGGAAGTCATGGTGACCTAGAAACGAGAGGGGCCCAGACATGCAGTGATGTATTTGGGAACGAGTCCTCATCCCTGCAGGGTTTGCATCACTTGGATTTAGGAGTGTGCTGGGCAGCCTGGGTGTTCATGCCTTCCCAGGTTTGTTCTGGTCTGAGACCAGAGAACTGTGCCCTCCTGGGCTGCATTTCAGGGGTGTTTGGTGGTCCCAGCTCACCTCTGAGCCAGTGGGAGCAGTGCAGGCTTGGAAAAGGAAGGTTGAGAAATGCCTGAGCTCCTGGAGGCCATTGTTGGACTCCATCTTGGCTTCTGCTTGCACAAGTAGGAGAGAGGCACGATAAGAGCAGAGTGGGAGAGTCAGCATTGCATAACCATGATGTTACACCAAAGGTACGTGCAGCTGTGACCAGTCAAAGGGAGGAAAGGGGTTGCTGGAGTACCAGAAAGTTCTGGCTGTGTCGCCATGAGGGAAAGCATTTACATGCTTCTTTGCCTCTAGAGTGCTCCTCAGGAATGATGTTGTTTAGATGCCAAAAGAGTGGAGCCAGACTGTTATTTCCTTTCCCCCTACATGACAGCTTCTGAACTGGAATGAATCTGCATCAGCATCAACACAGGGAATAAGAGAAACCTTGAACTAAATAGTGAAATACAAATAATTCTCCTCACTGGTATCCAACCCTTTACCTGCATGTCTCACCCAGGAGATCTGTGTCCTTTTGCAGGCTGTTGTCCTCTGCTGCAGGGCAGCAGCTTTGAACTCTGAGGTAAACTGGTTGATATGCTGATAAGAACAACCACAAAGGCCAGCTGGGAACAGTCCCGTGGGCATCTCACTGTACATTGTGTTTCCCCCTGGCTGCTAAGATCGAGTGGCCACTACTGGGCTTCCCCTTGCTGTGAGTGGTCCCTTCCCATCATCCCTGCTCCTGACCTCAGACCCAAAGCCAACAGCCATTCCAACAGCAACCAGCTCTTCCTGCGGCTCCAAGCCCACTGAGATTGCACAGCCAGGCTTTGGGCAGAGCATTTTCCTCTCCTCTTTACTGGAGTGCAGGACAGAGGCTGTATCTTACCAGCCCATCAAGACCTGCAGGTGCAGCTGAGTGCTCCTGACCAGGCACCCTGCAGAGAGTAGCACATTTGAGCTGCTGAAGACTTCAGCCTGAATTTACTGCCGTGGGTTGATGCTAAATATCGTATTCCTTTATAGTTGTTAAGAGGGCAATCTGCATGAGTGGTTCCAGTGGAGCTGTGCAGCTCTCCCCAGGGGTCCAGATAGCTGCAGGATATGTCAGAGATCAGGACCGAGTGAATTCAGAGCTTCTGCTCCCAGAGGTGCAAGCTGAGTAGTCAAAGCTACGTCAGGAGAAGAAGGAGCCTTTTCCATCTCTTTCTGAAAGCTGATCCTGATTTACCAAGAAGCCCATGTGCATGACTAGGTCTAGTCAGCTCAGAGAAACTGTTGCTTTAGCAACCTCCCTTTGTATTAGGCACCATGCAGGAAGGGGAAGTCTGCAGTGGGATTTTCCTCTCCCTCATGTTGCTTTGGGAGAGCTGTAGTTCCCCCTCCTAACCTGAGTCAAAAATACATTTGCAGTAGTTTTGCCTACCCTGTGTCTGCAATTCAACGTGGCTGGTCCCTTGGCATGGGGAATGAAAGTTTGTGATGTCAAAATATTCTGAGACAGAAGTTTATTCCACTTGAGGGGTGAGGAAGATACTGAAGTTGTAGGCTCTGATACTTTTTACACTGGTCCCCCATTCCCTTAGGAATTGTCCATAAAGTATCATTTCAAAACAATTAAAAGAATCAAGGGCTACCTATTTCTAGGAATCAGCTGGATTTGAGAACCAAATCTGCTTGGAGGAAGCAGGGGAAGGAGTAGTAAGGTGGAGAATGATTTCTAAGAGAAAGCTCTTCCTTTCCTGGCCTTTTGCAATAAAGAAGCAATTCCCCAGGAAATTCCAGATTCTCCTCTTGAAAGCTGTGGATCAAAATGCTCATTAGTGAGGATGTCAGTTCAATCAGGCTGTTACAACAAAGGATGCAGGGTGGGATCTACAGCTGATGGAGTGGAAAGGAGGGAGGGAGGGAGAGGGAAAAGTCTGCAGTCAGCTCAGCCTGTTGGATTACAGGTGCATCAAGTCACACTTAGAGGAGTTCAATATGGTTCAAATTATGTATCTGCATTACTGGGCAAGAACATTCAATGAGAAATTTGATTGCCTATGTTGAAAAATCAGGTTTAACTAAGAAAAAACTAACTACAGTTTCTGTATGTTCTCTTGATGTGTTTTTGTGTCCTCTGTCAGATAAGGTGGAAACATGTAAGAAAATGGATAATCATTAAGTGGAATACAGAACCCACAGGCACATCAATCTTCCCAGACAGGAGATTGACTTCCAATTTTTACCACCCAGTGTTTGCAGGAGGATCCTTCATTGCTAACATTTCCTCACTGATTTTAACAGCTCTTTAAAAAGAGAGGGAAGTGCCCTTTTGCAGCAGGGTGTGCAGATATTCTCATGGTTACAGCTGATCACCAGCCTGCAGACACGTGTCAGAGCAAGGATAGCAGCACTGGGCTCCTTTAGGTTTTTACACGGACTATAAATAGGACTGAATTCCCTCTGAAGGCATTACAGCCAGCCCTGTGCACTGCTGGCATTAGAGCAGCACCAAGAGGCCCAGGTGGGCTGAACACATGAACCTATCACAACCAAGAAAGTGCCACCAGCAAAGTGTGACCTGGTGAAAGCCACCAGCAAAGTGTGACCTGTGCACGACCATGTGGCACAGCAGCAGGCCTGGGGCTTCCTCCACCTCAGGGACAGTGCTGGGCCTTGAGCATCATCCCTTGGAGCATCTTCTGGCCCCAAGGGAGCACAAGGGCTCGGTTCCCCTCAGACTGAGTGCCTTTGCACCTGCCACTTCTGTGCCACTTCTGACAGAGCTGTAGTCTAAGAGTCTAGGTGCAGCGTGCTTGCCTAGGAAAAGAAAATGCAGTTCTTCCTCACAGTACATCTCTGTGAGACAGGATTTCTGCTTCATAAGGAAACAGTTCCTCTTTTATCATGCAGCTTGACTTTGATCCTGCAAACATTTACTGAGAGGGGAAGGGATTTGCAAAATGGCTGTGGCAGGAGATTGGAAATAACCTGCAGCTGTTGTGAGAGCATGGCGGTACCTCCACGTTAGGGAGCTGCTGGCTGCATGAAGAAAGAGCAGTTTCTCAAAGAAGGTAAAGGGATTTCATGCCCCAGCTCCTACTGACTTTTCTTATTTATTTCAGTGAGATCTCAGCACAGCTCCCTTGATCACCTGGGCCCTGGTTGCGTAGGCTTCTTTGGGAATCGCACAGCACTGTGCTCCTTTCAAAGGCTGATGCATGAGGGCATTGTGCAAGGCAGTGGCAGAATGAAAAAGAGGAGCTGACGCCCCAGATCTCCTCACAGCTCCTTCTTAAATAACTGTGCTCTCCTAATGCTCAGCCAGAATCTTCTCCAGAGCAAAACTCTCACATGGCAGCACCCCGGTGCCCACAACTTCTTACAGTACCTGGATGCAAATACAGTTAGATAATGTCTTGACTCATGTCACCACTCATTACCAAATCAGAGCATGCAGCCATATCAATGCTTAATGATCTTCTGAAACTTTAATTCATTTTACTCTGTAGCCATTTTCATAATTAGCTGTATTAATTTTATACAGATTAAAAATGTAAGTCAATCTCTTTGAAGTAGAAAAGTGGCATTTTAAAATCTACATTCTATCCCAAGCCTATAAATACATCTGCCTCATAGAAATCAGCTGTTTATGGTAGTTCTTATAGCAGAGAAGGTGACTCAAAGAGGCTTATGTGCTGCATTAGTTTTATCAGAGCTGAAAAAAACCTCCCAAATTCCCTGTGAATTAGAAGGATCAGTGACTATAGATAGATCCTATGCTCTTCCCCCACCAGCTAAAACATGGCACTGGTTTTGTATAGTCTGGATCCAAAGCAGTCACACTAGAAGAAAACAGTC